AAAATTTATTTTTTAGAATTAATAAGTATCCTAAACCCTAAACTATTATGTGAATAATATCTTTGAATCTGAACTTTTAAAATGTGCAAAAATTTTCTTTAACTTTTAAATTTTAAGTGCTTGAAACCTTGCCGTTAAGTTAGAAAAAATTGACATCACTTTTATAATTGTGGGGCTTAGTTGCAAGCTGATATGATACTTATCTTGATCATTAAAAATAATGATTATTTTCTCCAACTTAATGGCATTTTGATTTGTTATTCGCGCAATAGTTTAAGGTTTATGATATTTATTAACATTTCTTCTTAAGATATCCAGCATAAGTTGATATCTTAAATTCTAGTTTTGATGCTGATCATTGACACCTAATAAGTGGCATAAAATTATGAAATTATAAGAGCTTCTTGATTTTGTTTCATTTTTTGTTTTTGTAAAAATTATTTTGTAAATCAATTTTTAAAAATTATTTTCTAAAAAAAAGAAAATCTATTTGATAATGATACTTTGTAAATAATTTTAGAATTAAAAAAATTGACCCATAGCAATGGTTGTTAGTAGTTAATAGTAATGGTCTATAGTGATGATTGGTCATGGTTGAATGTAATTTATAATAATTAAATATAATATTTTTTTAAAAAACAAAAAAATGAAAACAAAAAACGGTTTTCATTTTTTTTTGGTTTTTAAAAGTAAAAAAAAAATATTTATTATCAAATACCAAAATCTTTATAAAAAAGTTATGCTTTTCAAAGAAATCACTAATAAGTTATGGTTATTCAAATTCACTCCAATTATAATGAAATTTGACATATTAGTATATTTTATTTAAAAAATTATTCAAATCAAAATTCGTAGAAAAAACAATCATCATATTTCCAAAACAATTAATAAATGATTCTCATAACTTAGAAAACAAAGGTCATTGAAAGAAAAGGCAGGAAAAAAAAGCATTTTGGAAGAAAATGGGTTGAATCACAATGAGTTACTCACGGCACAGCGAATGACAACGTTGATGATTGCAGAATCACAGCAGAGGTAAGGCATGGCGATCGATAACAGTAATGAAGGCATTTTGTGAGTTTTCTTGTGATTTTATGTAAAAGCGAAGAAAAAAGGAGAGGAAAAGTGTATTGAGCACACAAGGGAGAATGAAATGAATAAAAACTGAAGGGTTTTTTTTTTAAAAAAAAATAAATAACGTGCATTTAACTATTTGTTATTTATTTAATTATATATGAGGGGTGTTTGAAATACTGATCATATCTGATGATGATGATATATGATAGGTGTTTAAAACGCATGTATAAAATAATTTTTTTAAATTTTTCAAAAGGCCAGAAACTAAAACGTTATATGACAATAATGTCATTTGCATAAATGATGGGTGTTTCAATAAATTAATTTTAAATTTTAAATTAACCCAAAATTTGAAACTTTACATGATTAGTGTTTAAACACACATCATATATTATAAAATAATAAATGACGGGTGTTTGAAACATCTGTCATATATTGTTTAAACATCACCTGCCTTTTATTTAAATGATGCATTTTTTTAACCATATCCTTTTTTGGTATCTTATTTTCAGAGAATTCTGTAGCAATGATGGTTAAGGGATTCATAATACGTATGATGTTACTTTAGTCAATAAATTGTTGTATTTTACCTAAATTAAAGATTTCTTGATCTTTAATCTTAAATAACCATAAATATGGAATGGAGGGATTATTTGATTAATCAATTTTAAAATGTAGCAAAATAACTTATCCCCCCCCCCACACACACACTAAAATATGTAAAAGCAAAGGCCCTTTATGTAATTAATGTGGCTCATTTAATGTCCCAAGAACATAGTCATTAAATTAATCAATGTATTGATTTAAGGATTAATAGTCAAAATTATAGTTAAACTATATCAAATTAGTCATAAGCAATATATTTTATTAAATTGGTCAAGATTTTAGTTTAACAGTTTACTGATTCAATTAGGTGGGTTGATTCAAATTTCCGTACTATACTTATTTGTCACAATTTTGTACTGCCAACTAAACTTCTGTCTAGATTAAAAAAATGAAGACAATTTTATATGAGTGTATGCATATCCATTTGTAACAATCACTATATTGCTTATATCTACTACTAGATATGTTAATGAAGGAATATTAAATAGATGATAAACTAAATAAAGGAGCTAGGTCATAGTCTTATTAGATTTGGGTGTAGCAGAATCTACTCGATCACCCACACGAATTTAGATATCTAGAGTCTAAATTAAGATGCACTGAAGTGGGAAGAGAGGGAGAAGACCAACGAACACTAAAAGAGAACTGTTTGCTCTAAAGTTAGTTCTTCCTTCAGGCACCCTCATAGTGAAGGGGAGGCTATCATAGAAAAAGAAGATTTAATCGACATTAATTTGCATCATTATAAAAGAAATAAATTAATTAAAATAATCACATTTATTGCAGAAGAAGCAAGGGCTGATCCGACTTCCATCAAGGGTAGATCCATAATTCCAACAGTTAATGTTACCAAAAAATTCGATGTAATATTTTTTTAGATAGTGTGACGAATTTTCAACTTAATATTTTTTAGATAGAATGACGAATTTTCAACATCAAGTTAGCATTAAATGTGATATCTAAAAAGTTAATGATGAATCAATTTATTATTAATAAAATATCAATAAATTTTAATCAATTTAATAGATTAAATCCTGTTTAAAATATTTTATACTCTCTTTGTTTTTATATATTTAAAAAAACTAATGCTTGTTGTTTTATTTTTATTTATAAATAAAATTATATATCTCAATAAGTATTTATTATAACTTTTTTAAATTACTTTTCATAGGCTCATAATTTTCATTTACGAGAAACAATTAATGTGACCTTATTTTAATTAAATACTAAGATATTTTAGTCAAGCTTTTATTTTCAAACACAATTATTATTGTTAATTTATTTTTTTAAATTGTGTGGTATATTTATTTTATATATATATAGAGAGAGAAACGGAGGTAGTATTATTTTATAAGTCATTAATAACATAGTAAATTTAATTAAAAATATTGAAATTCTTCTATTTTTCCATAAGAATTAATCTAACTGCAAATACAAAATCTTTGATTATGAATCCCTTCAATCAAATGTTAATTTAATATTTATTAACAATTAATTAGAAACTTATCAATTTAGATGTACATTGCCAAGCTTAATTTCACCTTAACATAATGTTCGGCTTCAATTCAATTTCTCTTGGCTCATTGTTTTCTAACCCATGGCTGGCCTCCTTCGAGCTCGAAAACTGAATTGATTAAATATACTACTTGTTATGTGTCTTTAATCATTTATAAATAATGAGAATATCATTTTGTGCTAACTCGTCTCAATTCGGTCTAATTTGACCAATTCACTTTTTGGCCTGACTTGCCTCCACTCGAAGTAACCAAGTTGGAATGGGATGGTTGGACCAATGGAACTTCTGAGTTATAAGAAAGAGAATGACAATTAAAAATCTTATAAATGAGATTAATATAAGAACGAGGATTTGTTTATAATAAAAAATTTTAAAACTTACTAATTAAATTTCTATAATTGGAATTTGAAGGTTTTCATTTTACATCAGTCTTCTTACAAGATTCTTCATTGCGATTCTCTTAATTCTAAATACAGGTGGCGTTTTAATAAAAATTACGGAAAGCATGTGTAATTTAACTTGTACATGTATTTACACCATTGAAAATTAGACCAACTATTGAATTTTTCATGACATTGGTTCAAATATTAATAGTCAAAGTCATAATCGAACTAATTAGAAATAAAGAATTTTGTTAAACTAGTTAAAGTATTAATTTAATGACTTGTTGAAACATATAAAAGGAATTCTGCGCTCATTTTGAGAATAAAGAGGAAGCTTGTATAATTTCAGCAATTTTTTTTAAAAATTAATTATGTAGTCCTTGTCAAGAATATTAGAGGATTTTGTGGATGTTCATATTTTTAGATTCTCTTATATCTTTAGGTTACCATAATATCTTTTAATTATTATTATCTTATATATTTTTGTTTAATTTAATTGATATATTTGTTTTTATAAATAAAATACATCTTAATTGTATTCTACAAACTGAAATAAGAAAGTTCTCAATTCTCTTATTCTTTCATTATAATTTTCTCTATTTTCTCCTCCTTTTAATCTCTATTTACATGACATTCTTTTATAATTTTGATTTAATTACAACTCAATCATTAATATCCAACTCATGTAATTTAATTCTTTATTATTCAACTATTTATTTTGTTGGTTCCTATATTTTAAAAAAAATCATCTAATTTTACAGGATTAAATTATAATTAAATTAATATAATACACAATCATTGGATTAAATTGCTAAAATTTAAGAGATCGTTACACCAAAAGTGATTAATATTTTTTTTGTAAAAAGTAATTTATTTTTGTTTTTTGTTAAAAGAATTTTAATCTTTTTTTTTTCCCAACAAGAGATAATTTTATTAAATTAACGCAAAGGGTCTAGCAGATACAAAGCCAAAAGGACGGTAAATAAAACAATGCAAATCAACGAGAGTCCCAAAACTTCTCCCAATCAACATCCAAAAGAGATTTAAGAGGAATTGGTGGCCTAAGACCCAATCCAAAGGATACAATTTCTTTAATGAAGCATTAGCAGCCCAATCACCTACGGAAGTTTCAACCAGACCAGAAGAAATATGCAATCCCTTTGTTTTGGCATTGGTGGTGATAAAGTACAAAGACTTTGGGCGGTCTCTCATTGATGAATGATGAGTGACCTGCCAATTAACCCCAAAGACCACGGCGAGCTCATGTTTGAATTGAAGGAGTCAGCGTTTGCCTTAATCGTTCGGACACGTCTCTCTGTTAACCCCTCACTCGTGCCGATAACTCCGCCTCCACACGTGACTCTCCCTCCTCTCTCTCCCTTTTTATATTCCTTTTCAAATTCCCTCTCTTCCTTCCTCCTCCAAGCCTCTCTCTCTCTCTCTCTCTCTCTCTCTGTGTCTGAGCTGCAACTATGGCCGATGCTTCTATAGCGCCCACGCCGCTTCTCAAGGATGAGCTCGATATCGTGATTCCGACGATCAGGAATCTCGATTTCCTCGAGATGTGGAGACCATTCTTCCAGCCTTACCATCTCATCATCGTCCAGGACGGTGATCCTACCAAGACCATTACCGTTCCCGATGGCTTCGATTACGAGCTCTACAATCGCAATGACATCAATCGGATCCTTGGTCCTAAGGCTTCCTGCATCTCCTTCAAGGACTCCGCTTGCCGCTGCTTCGGTTACATGGTCTCTAAGAAGAAGTATATCTACACTATTGACGATGACTGCTTTGTGAGTTCTCATTTTTCGTTTCTCTTATGATTTTTCATGCCTTTGATTCTGGATATATTGTTCTTCTTCTTGTATTGTGATTGCTGGGCTTCTGGCCGTAGAAGTAATCCATTCGCGCTGTTCAATTTATGTGATAAAATTACTCTCTGTACGGCAATGAAATCTGTGTCATGATTTTGTTTTCTTTCGTTTTTTAATTTCGTTTTTATTTTTCTGAAAACTGGCTCCGTATTCACTGACTTACTGTGGAACTTGTCTTCATTATTAAGACCTGCAATTTTGTCTGTACTGTTGCGAACATTGTTTTAGAGTTCTTTCTATTTTAAATTTTAATTAATATAATTAATATAAATTAGTTGATTTCATTTGAAACAGAGATACCATGTGTGTAGTGGGTTCCACGTTCATGGAGGACCCACCGCTCTTGGGGACATGTCTTTTAAAATAACACGGACAATCAAGCTATTCAGTTTCTTCTCTTTAATCGGTTTGCATTTCTACATTCATGTTGGGATTAAAAAATTGGAATTGCTTGTTCTGTTTTCTTTCTGTATTGGTATTCCGTTATTTTCATCTGATGGAATTCTGAGATCCCGGATCTGCTATTGATATGAGAAGTATTACTTGTGTATAGCATATCTTGTAATGTTTGAGGATTTCATTAATTTATTATATTTGCTATTGCATTTTGTTACTTAAAGTCTAAGGATTTGTATTTCTACAATACCTCTAATGAATTTTGTTATTGCCTTTATGGGTTAGGTTGCTAGCGATCCGTCTGGAAAAAAGATCAATGCACTCGAACAGCATATCAAGAACGTTCTCAGTCCATCCACACCCTTGTTTTTCAACACCCTATATGATCCTTACCGTGAGGGTGCAGATTTTGTTCGAGGCTACCCTTTCAGTCTCCGTGAAGGTGTTCCGACTGCTGTTTCTCACGGCCTCTGGCTTAACATCCCAGACTATGATGCACCTACGCAGCTTGTGAAGCCTCTTGAGAGGAACACTAGGTACGTACGAGAGTTTAGACTCTTGAAATTTGGCTATAAACGCTATAATATATTGCTTGAGTTTAAGTTTGAGTATTATTGTTATGGTTTTAAGGTATGTGGATGCGGTTTTGACCATTCCAAAGGGAACTCTATTCCCCATGTGTGGAATGAACTTGGCATTTGATCGTGAGCTTATTGGACCTGCCATGTACTTTGGTCTCATGGGTGAAGGTCAGCCCATAGGACGCTACGATGACATGTGGGCTGGTTGGTGCGTTAAGGTTAGTCTTTGGATTTTCTTTTATTTTCAACTAATCTCCCCTGTTTTTGTCTCTGTGGTTCCATGTAATGTTTTCGCCCTTCGATTCAATCTTTTACTGTTTGTGGTTAATAACATGGTGAGAAACCCAGTCCTATGTGTGTGAGCAAAAAGCTGCAAACAACTAAGAGATGCAAATTATGATTGTTTTGTTCAGGTGATCTGTGATCATTTGGGATTAGGAGTGAAAACGGGTCTTCCCTATATTTATCACAGCAAGGCTAGCAATCCATTTGTAAACCTGAGGAAAGAGTACAAAGGCATATTCTGGCAGGAAGAGATCATCCCATTCTTCCAAAATACTATTCTCCCAAAAGAGGCCACCACTGTGCAAAAGTGCTACATTGAACTCGCCAAGCAAGTCAAGGACAAGCTCTCCAAGGTAGATCCTTACTTTGACAAGCTGGCAGATGCTATGGTTACTTGGATTGAAGCTTGGGATGAACTTAACCCTCCTACCAAAGGGTCTCTTCCCAACGGGAAAGCATAAATCAGATTTGATTAGCTTTCAACAGCCTCAGAACTTATAACTGCTATCCATATATTTATGTAGTGTTTCTTGTCCTATTTAAACGCTTTGTTATCACCCAATATGCAGCATGATTGGCTGCAATTTAATTGTTTTAAACTTACTGCTGCTTTGAGTAAGTAGAGAGGCAAATAAAATATAGTGGTCTAGGACGTTGCTTTCTTTTGAATTTGTTGTTCGACGGAGGTACAGATCAAGATCACAGGAGGGTCATGTCAATCTGAGGTTATAGAGAACTTGTATGTATGCCCTATTATTGCCGAGTATAGATCAATATTTGATCAAATTTAAAATTTTACAAATTGATATGTTTTGCAGTTCTTGGTTCCTGACTTTGCCTTACATCTTGGAATTTTTTTTAAAAAAATTGTAAAGTATGCTTAATTAGGACACGTCCGTTTGAACTGGATGGCAGACAAATATAATCAAATGCAAAAAAGAAATGAAGTGTTCAGTGAACTGCAGGAAAAATCAGCAACAATGCGACATGCAATGAAAACATGTAATAAAAGATTTCGTTGAACATATCCTATAGAAGAATCTTCTGGGTCTTCAAGAACTTGCTTTTAATTATGGAATTGTATATAATTTTTTGAAGTACTTGTGGAAAGAAGAATATTCTATTGCTCAACGCACTGGTTTGGTTTTTTTTTTTTTTTTGGTTTTCATTTTGTTTCTTTTTAATAATCTTATGGCGAACAACTGAACCACAGGAATCTTATGTCTTTTGTTGTCAGATTAAAGTTTTGTTATCTTTGGATTTTAAGTCAAAAATGACTTGGACTAAGCATTTTCTAGGCAATTGACACTTTCAAAGTTAGAAAGATTGAAAGACCCTGTTGGTATGCGTTTAAATTACAAGTGAAGGCAACTAAATCTTACGCGTCAAAAGTTTTTCTTTCGGCCGATGTTAAAGTGTTTTTCTCCCTCTAAATGACGACTAATCTATCGTACACGATGGGGAGAATCAGGTCTCAAAAATTTAAATTAATGATAATGAGGTCTCCAATAAGTTTTTTAAAAAATAAGTTACAAATATTAATTCAAACAGTTATAAATAAAAATTTTAATTACAATATTTGAGTTTCATTTAAAATTTAAATATTTTATTTGTAATTGATACTTTTAAATTTATATTTTTGTTTTTACCAAACTGAATTTGTATTTGTTTAAATCAATATTTACAACTTATTTTTTTAAAAAAATTTACCAGAGATATACTTGTCATTAATTTAAGATTTTGGAATTTAACTATCATTCTCGCTAAATTTTCTTAAGCATAATTTCCCCAGTGTAGAACTGATAATCTAACCATTTCGCGATCGAAAAAGAGCATGTTCTTGGGGCTGCCACTGAATTGTGTAATTGTTGGGGAAATAAAACATAACATAGTGTGTAGTAGCCATAGACAAATTTGTTTCCTATTCCAATATCATTCCTCAAGTCTGCGAGTTAATGTTTATGATATATGACTAGTATGATTTTTTTGACCTTTTGGTTGTGTAAATGACTCTCATATTAATATATGAAAAAAAAGAGAAAATTAATCTTTCATTTATTTAATTTTTAACTCATTTGTAATTCAATCACTTAATTATGACTTGCTACGACTCATTCTCTTAACTATAATTTGTTACGACTTAGTTCTTTAACTTTTCACTCACTTATAACTTGGTTCTTATTTTTAAAATTTTTTTAAAAATTTTCTTATCAAATGAGAGGGATAAGAGAAATGCTCGTATTTTACTCTAAAATACCACTACTACAAAAAAAAAGGAATAAATGATAGTTATTTTATCCCATAACTGATGGGTGCTATGTGGCTGGCATTTAAAGTCCCCAATAAATGATGGTTATATAACTATCATTTAAAATATAATTTTTAGGTGCCATGGCTATTGGGAGAAATAATAAATGTTCATTTAAAGTCATAACAAATCAAGTAAATCATTTATCGGATTTATCCATCATTTAAAGTCAAAATAAATGACGGGTAAATGATTTACCTGTCATATATTGTAAGATAAATGATGGTTATTTATATAAAGGCACTGTTATTTATACTAGCCTCTCTATAAAAAAAATCAAAATAGTAGCAGATAGCCATTCCAACATTTATAAATTTGAATATTAATAGAATTTATTGTTTTTAATTGCAAAATTAATCAATGAACATCTCTTATACTAATTTATCAAATAAACAAATGTAATTTTATAAAGTAAACCATTTTCCAAAGTAAACTAGCTATTAAATATATAAACATCCTAGCTACTTCTTCTAAGTAGTTTTATTGATCTTCTTTTTATGAGATCCACACTTGGAACATATGTTGACACTATTCTTCAATTACCTCATTTTTTTTCACATCCCCAAATTCTTCAATATAAGAATCATCATAGTATTGCAATTTATAAATAATCCATTATAAATTAATTTTAATACATTAATTTTTTTTTTATAATTGAAAAGTGAATATTGTTGACATATCATCTTAGAAATTATACTCTCATTATGGACAATAATGTCCTTCATGAACCTTATGATGCATAAGCCACAATCCAAGCTATTTTTCATTTGTCTTGGACACTACAAATTAAAGAACCAACGAATATGTATTAATGCATTATTTTTCAATTTAATAAATGATTTTAATTACCTTTATTATATTCCAAGTGTAGGCCGCATCAAAATGTGTAAAGGGCATTGGAATTAATTGTTTTGTGTTTGTGCGATATAACACAATCACCCTAATAAAACAGTAAAAAATACATCAATATGAAATTTAAATAACCAAATAAATATGTGAAATACTCTATTTACTTACGTATTAATTAACTCTAATAAAATTTATTGATTCCTTAGTTGCCCTCCAAGAGAATCAAGTAATATATCTTTGGAGTGTTGTCAAATGGTTCGGTGGCCATCAATATCCAATGGTCCTTAACAGTATTAACAAATGCTATAAAATTATAATTAATTGATTAACTTAAAAATAAAAAATTATTAAGATAAATGAGAAGTACGTTACCCTTGATAGTATGATATTATGAATAATGTTCCCTTTTGAGCCCTTGCTTTGAAATTTTAGCATAATGCCTTTGCTTGTTCTAAAATTTTATCATTTTTAAGGCATGTGTACCAACCTTATGAGAACTAATGAAGATGAACTTTATTTATAGATCGAAAGGGATAATAAATTTTTCATACAAGTGCCTACTATAAATATTTCAAATAGAATAGTTTATATTTAACATACTAACTATTCATAATGGAAAAAAATTTCCAAGTAAAAGATGAGAATAGTGAGACTGGTCATATCATGTTGAAAGACTTCATCAATAATATCAAGCGAAAGCATGTCATATTAATCTTTGCCATATATACCAACCTCGAACAAGATTTGCAGGACAGAGGATTAGACTTATGAATTATTGCATATGCCTAAAGTAAATTTTAGTGCTGGCTTGGTAGTTGAGGCTCTTGTTCAGTCATAGCTTTATGGGAGGCTACCTTTTTTGAGGAGAGCTTAGATCGATGTATCATCTTTTTCTTGGATTGTGCATCTTTACTAGTTTTTTTTTTGGACTTGGCATCCTAACTTGACTAGCTTGTCAACCAACAAAATAACCCATTGCCTCTCTAACAATCCTTGCATCATTAGTGGGAATAGGTAGTAGATAGTTTAAATCATTTAGCACATCAATAGCAACCTGTACATAGGATGTAGGGAGAGGCATATTATGTAGCATGTCTCCTAAGAAATTGAACACTTGACTGATAGCAACCACATGATGCTTCGGGCCATTTACCAACAACTCAAATATGTTCTCACCCTATATTAATAAGTAATATACTATATTAAAGTCATGAAAAATAGAAATAGTATAAAATAAGTGAAATAAATTAATATTATTTTATCTCAAGGAGATTTTTAACGGGTTGCACTATACTATAACTATCTTTCTCTCTGAGGCTAATATGAAACTCCCCCTCCCACCTCTCCTTATCCTTTAGTAAGGCTTCTGTAACATTTAAGAAATTTAATCTTGATTAATTATCTTAACGAGTATGGTTAGTGAATTAATGAGGTGTGTGGCTAAAGGGGTCTAATTAGCATTTTTAGCTTTAATTTTAGCCTAAGATGTGGGTCCGAATCAATGACGGCCTACTTGGGCAAGGAAAGAGGAAGAAAAAGTAAAGAGAAGCCATCTGTGCTACATGCCGGGCGTGTGGGCAATCCGTTGCGGTGCATAGAGGCAAATTTTCTATTCGGATCAACAATCTACTACATTGGGCTTCTTTGTGCCATGCGTCGCAAAGGAGGGCAACATGCGCCGTGGCGCATAGCCAAAATCTTGATTAAATCAGTTCGTGTCTGTGTGCGAAATCAAAAGAGAAGGAAGGGAGAAAATGAAGAACACACCTAATGCTTTGCTAGGGCATGACTTTAGAGATTGTTGATGATAGTTTGAAGCTTCTTAGCTTACAAAGTGAGTATATGAGCTTCTTTTCTTCCTTCTCTACCATATTTATAAAGAGTAAACTTAGGGTTTAAGTATTAATGGTGGTTTTCGATCCATAGGAGTTATGGGTCTAAATTCATTATTTAAAATGGATATAATGGGAGTTATTTGAGGTATTTAAAATTAATAATTTTGTATATGGTTAATTGGGTGGAGCCATTAATATGTAAAAATTGCAATGAATAAGATGGTTAGTGGTGCTTATTTCTCATTTAGTAGTTTATTGATTCCTTGAGGTCAATGTCCATTTATGGAACTTAAAGAACCCATTGGGTTTGAATGAGTAGTAAATTTATGGAATTGATAGAATAGAGAATGTGGAGTTTGGTATTAGTAGATCCTCAAAATTGAGATAATGATGATATCCTTGTATTATAATTGTAGTGTGGTTTAAATTGGCACCATTCTAGCTTGTGAGAAGCTTTAGAAGTGATTAGTATGAAGGGTAAACCTTTGACCTTTCAAAGGTTTAAGGTAATCGGGGGAAACCTATTTTGTATAGTTGTATGTTAATCAAGTAATTGTTAAAATTTCACTTGTTGAAGCTTATTTGTTGATAAAATCTATAGATGCAAATTTTGGCAAAATGGTGAACTTGCAAAAGGGTTTGAAAAATGAAAACCTCTTGTATGCCATCTATTTATGATTTATGAACTGACTTATGGCATGTTATTGTGAAAGTGAAGAATTATGATGTGTGGCGTGTTAAGTATGTGGAGTATATGGAGTGTGGGTATATGAATTTATATGACATGAATTAGTCTATTTGGATGCATAAACATGTGAGTTGTGCATAGCATGATCATTAGTGGGAGTTCACTTAGGGAGAAAAATAGATGGTTAAATCCACATGGTATTGGTAGTGACTATTGGAATTAGAAACTTGCCTTGGAACAGACTATTGAAATTGGAAGGTAGCTCATGTCCTATGGTTGATTTGAGACTGTTCTACTTGTTCTATGAGGGACTTGAACCTAACTAGTCTCCATCGGTTCATGAGGAGGCTAGATTAAGGGTATGACACCCCATGGTTGTTAGTATTGGGGGAAATCATATTACACAAGTAAATGAGTTAACCCTGATCCGGTAGTTCTTCACAAGTGGAAGGCTGAGTTAGTCTGTGAAGGACGTAGCCACCAAATAACTATCAGTTTCATGTCAGAGGTAATAGAAGGGTATAAGGTTCGTATTGGATTATGCATTTAAATCTGGCCACATGTTGTTATTATTATGGTTCGTTATGTGTTAGGGGTATATGGTTGGTATTATTGAGACCCATAATGTGTGTTGTCATTTTTGTGGTTATATGTGTGTTATGCCCAGTCACATGGTTGTTAGTATTGTGAACCGTGGCCAAGTTCATCATATGTATTATAATTGTGCGTTTTTGCCTATTTGCATATGTTTTTAATTGATATGTTTTTAAGTAACCCATGAAACTTGATTACTGAGTAGTTGTACTCACCCTCAATTCTTAATATTTTCAAGGCTAGCTCATTAGATCTGAATCGGGGAAAATGTGCCGAGGCTTAGGGTTTTAAAATAATCCCTTATATACCTCTATGTTGTTTAATGTGTAAAAATGTTAATTTGATTGCCAACTAGGAATCTGATGATATTTTTGCACTACTTGCATTATTGTAGCATACAACTTACGTATTTTGTGTCTTGAGTGAGTGAGTTTTGATTGTAAACCTTTGGATAGGGCCAAAATATTTGTACAAATAGAAATATGTGTGTTTGAATGAATTGGAATGAAAATGGTTGTTTTGTGCAAATTTTTTCTCCCTTTTATGTTTTATGAAATTTAAGGTTGAGTGGTGATTTTGAGATTTATGTGTTTTTGATTGTATATGGTGCATTTCATGGGTCCGCTAGAGTTCATTAAGTGTGATCGAAGGGTTGATGTAGGTTTTTGGCACTTTGTGGTTGAGTTGGGAAACCATTGTTGTGGGATTTTTGTCAAAAAGTGGTAAAATAGATTTTGGTGTCCAACTCTTTGTAAAAAATAAATTTGAATGTGAAACTTATGCCATTAGCTAGAGCTAGAAGAAAGCTTTGTGTAGACATTGAAACCGCTTCAATCTGACATCAAACGGAGAATTGGGATATGTTGGAAGTTCGTTCCTACTATTATCAAATGATAGCAGCTATTTGCTATCAAATTATGTGCAATGTGCCGTGGCGCATGGCATAGAGGTGAGTGAGTCACGGTGCATGACCCTTAGCTGCAGTAGCGTATGACACATTTTTTGCACAAAGCACAGTTTTGTGTTTTAAAACTTAATGTTTTGCGTCCTAATTGATTTTCAAGCTTTCATATTATTTTAAAACTCTGAATTGAGCATAATAAGTGTTTGAGAGATTAAAAATATTGAATTTTAGGATCTCATTATAATGATTTAAGAGTTTCTCCCATTTATGTAATTTTACAAACTTGATAATCTCTTTTGAATTTAGTCCCTTAATTACATTAATTTTGGAGTTAATTGTGGTTTAGTAAGGAAAACCTTATAGCTTCAATCATATCCTATTGCCTGGATAGCTCCTCTTTCAGTGTGGCAATCCCAGCCCTTGCAACCACATCCTCTGTTGACTTTGTCTTCTTTTGTGTCTTGAATATTTGATTTTCATAACACTGAAGCCATAACCCTTAACTCGATCAGGGTATTCGGGATTACCCAATGCCTTACCTAAGACATCATCATCAGGTATGCCACTTTTTTCAATATTAACCTGTGTAATATATAGTAAGAAAGTTAAATTAGTTGATTGATTATAAAAAAAGTTAAGTTAATGTACTTACACATTTGTTAGAAAGCTCCTGAACACGTTCATCAACAATGTTTCCTCCTTTTATTGGTTTAGCCTTTTATGAAGAGTTTGTCATATGAAACTGAGCTTGCTCCTGAACCCTCTTATTTGATCTACAAATTTAAATAAATTTGAATGTCAATATAGTACATATATCCACAAAATAAGCTAAAATTATATAGTATAGAGATTAAGATATCATTATTGCTCAATTCTTGTATATCCTATGCACCCTTTCTTATAAGGGTATAGATTTTTCTCATGCAACTCTTTCTTTTTGTTGCTCAATTCTTGTGCAAAATACATAGAATTATATCAATAAATGTAAATATATTAACAATAATAAAATATTAATTCATCTCATTGTTCTTACCTAAAATTGTCCCTTAAGACGTTGAGCAACAAATTCATCCCACTGTTCTTGTAAAATTAATTCCCTTATCTAGTTGGGGACCTTAACACTAATGTATCCACTTGATTTTTTAATGTACTTCATTCTCATGAAATACTGAAATGTTTGCATTGTCTTTCTAGTTTGTTGGATGACAAATTTTATCTGACTAATATCAATTGCAAATGCTGCCAGTAAATCAAGATAATTAATTAGATTTTTAGTCAAATAATTTTAATTAATTACACCGATGTGAGTAAAGTATTTTACCTTTACTTACTCTCAAATATAATTTTTCATTGCTGGACTAATATCGTTCCAGTACTTAATTGTAATTGGCACATTTTCTTTTGTCACAACCTCTATATAGTTGATGAATTTATTTCTGTGAGTCTTGATAGGTTGACCTTTGTAATTTTATTTGACTTTATATTTCTATCTAGCAGCTCTTCTTCTATTCACCTCAACCATCAATGTCAATTTTTTTTTTGTGAACATTGTATTTTGTCCAAATATTTTTTAAATATAATATTGATAATAAATTCAACCAAAAAAATAAAATTTTAATAATATAGATAAAATAAAAAAATTTAATTAAATAAGGATTGGTTTTATTTTTAGCCTAAATAATTTTTTATTGGTTAGGATTTTATTTTTTTTAGTTAGTTAAAACAATCAAAATATATATAATATAAAAAATTTAATTCTTTGTTTAAAATTAATTCTCAAAAGAAATATTAATTCTTTTTTTAAGAATTATATTTCAAAAAAATTGTTAAAAATAAGTGACGAAAATGTTGAGATTTAATTCCTTTAAGAATTATATTTCAAAAAATCTAATAATTATAAAATAAAAAATTTATTAATAATAAAAAATAAAGAAATTAAATAAATTTAATCTCTCTTCAAAATTAAAATTTTAAAAAAATCTTGCTTAAATCTTAAAAATTTTTTTTAAATTATTTCAACAATTTAAAAGTAATAGGAATCAACTTGTTGAGAGTTAAATATTTTTAAATTTTTATTTAAAAAAAGAGAGAATATTTTTGGTCCATTCAAAATCAATTTTTTTAATTAATTTTTAAAAATTACCTTTAGAAAACAATTTTGTTAAAACATTAAAAAAATAATATATTAGGGAGAGTGAAACGCTGATCTCAGCCCTTATATCCCTTTTGTACGAGCGAAGAAAAGTAGCCGGACGCAGAGGAAGGCAGAATATCCCTTTTGCACGAGCGAAGAAAAGCAGCCGGACGCAGAGGAAGGCAGGAAAAAGCTTCACTCTGCAGAAGACTCGCACGAATGAGAGAGAAGAGGCGCAGGTGTGGCTCCATCCAAGGTCATGATCAAATTTTAGAACACAGCAATCAGAGAGCAGTGAAGCACGCAAACAGTTTTCTAGCCTCTCACGCAAGCTCCAGACAAAGGATATCTTGTATCCGTTTCTATGGATGTCGGTGATGAAGAAGGGGGGCTCGGCAGATGAAATCTGGCGCCGTGTGACGAAGGAGAAGCTGAATCAAGTCAGAGTTTGCAGATTCAATCTACCCAGGTATTTTTTTGGGTCTTCAATATAAAGGAGAGAACGGAAGAGACCGAGAGGGCTGGAAGGAGAGATTCAGGGAGATTTCTGGAGATCTGGGTTTTGAGAGAAGGAGCTGGTAGAGTTGAAGAGGTAGAAGAGAGTGATCTGGGCAGAAACAGAGGACGCGGTCGAAGAGTACTGAATATTCAAAGGAAAGGGAGAAGAGCCGATTGAAGATACCCATATCTCCTTACTGTAATAGGTTTGGAATCAAATTTTTCGTGCTTTACATTCTTACTCTGCCTTCTGATCCCACGATCTATTTCATGTTCTACTCCATAAAAGTTTGATTAGCTTTACGAGTGCAGTAATTTTGACTGTGAGCATGCTTTCGAATTCTGTATCATTTGAGGGAATTTCCGATTGTTTGTTTCATTCATATTTTATAGGTTGTATGGATTAAAAGGTTGAAAGTGGTTTCTTTGATGTTTATCAAAATTTTCTACTATGGGTTGATGATGGCTTTAATAAGAATATTGAATTCATATTCTGTTAACATATTGCTCTGGATTTTGACGAATTGTGTGTGCCTGTGGTTATGCTTAAGATGTCAATTAGAAAAAGTGGCACAAGTTAGGCACCATATTGAATTCTCAGATATAAGTTGGTGAAATCCGATTCCTCTAGTGTGGACTTAGGTGTTTAAGATTGCTAATATGCTTGCTTTGCGATTTGGCTATCTTGGAGATTTTTCAAGAATTTTGATCACATGGCTTTATGATTTTGTATATTTGACCGCTGGAATGTCACATGAAAACACCTTTTGAAACAAAAGTCTAGTGTGAAAAAAAAAGGGAAAAAAAAAAAGAAGAAAACTTGGTGGAGCCTTTGGTTTTAACTACCATATGCTTGGCTTTGGATGACAAAATGTGATTTGAGTTTGTTCTCTTTAAAGGTCAAAGTTTATACGTACCTTTAGAACGTTTTAGGCTCTTTGATTAATCTTAAAATTTTCACTTTATGCTAATTGCAAATGTTTGCTTCAATGGTGATTAAATTGTTTGTTAACTTCAAGGAGAATGCATTCCCGTTTGTGAAGTTAAAATCATTTGCTACAATGTTTTGATAATTGAACTATCAACAAGATTTAATCCCGCATGTGTATGACATGTACTTTTAAAATTTTGTGCTTTAGTTCTTAAAGTTGATCTTGAAAAGGCATTTGATAGGCTTTCTTTAAACTTCATTGATGATACTCTTCAGTGCATTGGAATTAATAGTCACTTCAGAAACTTGATTTAGGCTACCATCTCTATTACTTCCATGCAAGTCTTTTGGAATGGAGAACCTTCTAAGGAATTCACGCCCTTTCGTGGCATTTGGCAAGGAGACCCTCTTTCTCTTTATCTATTTGTACTTTGCATTGAACATTTAAATCATTGCATTAATAGTAGTATTGATAAGAATGAGTAGAAGCCTACAATTAATAGCCCTCCTATCTCTTATTTATTTTTTGGTGATGACTTTTTTTTTTATAGAGTGTTCTCTTTCATAAGCTATGATCATCCAATGATGTCTTTTTGATTTTTGTAATGCCTTGGGTTAAAAGATAAACATAGAGAAATCTAAGCTCTTCTGTTCTAAGAATGTCAATGTTAATAGAGCCTTACAGATTGGTGAAGAACTAGGGATTCCACTCACAGGAAATCTTGAAAAATACCTTGGAATCCCTATTATTCATGAAAAGGTGTCTAAACTCACTTTTACCCCACTTCTTGATAGAAGAAATTCTTGCTTGGAAAATTAGAGAAGTTGTTACCTGAACATGGCTAGGAAATCAGTTCTTATCAAATTTGTTTTATTCACCCTTCCTAGCTACACTATGCAAACTATGCTTTTATCGGATAATGTTTTGTTTGATTTGGAAAAAATATTTAGAAATTTCTTATGGGATTTGACTAATGGAAATAAAAAATCACATCTACTCTCTTGGGATAGAATCACTATTGATAGAAAAGATGGGGGACTTGGACTCCAAAAACTAAAGAATCAAAATATTGCCTTCATAATGAAGCTTTGTTGGGGCCTTATCACTAAGCCATACTATCTTTGGGTTCGGATTCTTTATGATAAATACAAATATAACAAACTTAGAATTCTGATGGTAGTTAAACCTAACTCTTGTTCTTATACCTGGAGCAGCATTTGTAAAGTTTGGGATAAATTCATGTCTCATGTAGGTTGGAAAGTTGGTAAAGGAGATCAAATATCATTTTGGTATGACAAATGGTCTTCGATCCCTGACCCTCTTGTTAAGCATGCTTTTCTTAATGCTGATTCTATTCTCCATACTACGGTCTCTAACTTTTGCCATATTACAAGAGGTTGGAATATTGATCTTCTAAATCATTACCTCCACTCTGATATAATTTAAAAAATATTACTTGTGCAACCACCTAACCAACGAGGCGAAGAAGATGTTCTCATTTGGAAACCCTCCTCTGATAGAAATTTCTCCATTAAATCTACTTACAAAGCCATGGATTTGTAGAAAGATCAGCACCATTATGATATATGGACTAAAATTTGGAAGTGGCCTACATATGAAAAAATAAAATATTTTCTATAAAAAGCTGCCTCAATTCGTCTTTAGTCCAATCATATGCAAACATCTGGGAATGCTCCCCATCAATGTCTTTGTCCATTTGGTTGTAACTCCCCTGATTCCTTAATTCATATTTTATGCGATTGTGAAGAAGCCAAAGAAGTCTGGCAAAAATTAGTTAAACCTACAAAAATTAACACCTTCTTCTCCTTTAATGTTTAGGATTGGATAATTTGAAATGTAAAGAATGAAGCAGGTAGCTTAAAAATAAGACGAACGCCTTGGCAGAAGTTTTTTGCACAAGCTTGTTAGAATATTTGGAAAGCTAGATACAAAAAATTATACTTAACAGATGACATCTCTAATAGCGATATTGCCTTCTCCAGCACTCAAAAGATAAATAATGACGTCTGTTAATCCTTTACTTGGCAACTTTATTTCACTCAATGGGAGCAATGCTAGGTCAACATGATGATTCTAGAAAGAAAGAGAGAGCGATTTATTTATTGAGTAAGAAATTTAATGACTTTGAAGCTCGTTATCCAATGATTGAGAGAACTTGTTGTGGACTAGTTTGGGTAACTAGAAGGCTAAGGCAATATATGTTTTACTACACTACTTGGTTAATCTCAAGAGTGGACCCACTTAAGTACATCTTTGAGAGCTCACACATTGCAGGTAGAGTATTGAAGTGGCAAGTTGTATTATCTGAGTATGATATAAAGCATGTAATGCAAAAATCAGTTAAAGGTAGTGTGATAGCGGATCACTTGGCCAATAATCTCTTAAGGAATAACCAACCATTAGATTTTGAATTTCTTTATGAAGGCATATGCACTGTAGAAGAAGATTGTGATGAAGGGAATGGTGAAGGACAAAAATGGGAAATATATTTTGATGGAGCTACTAACATGCATGAAAATAAGGCAGGAGCAGTGATTGTTTCACTAAAAGGGAAACAATTTTTAATGGCCATTAAATTAGAATTTGATTGCACTAATAATATAGTAGAATATGAAGCTTATGTTAATGGTCTTCGAACAGCTATTACCCTTGGCATATGATGCTTGAAGGTGTTCGGTGATTCATCTCTCATCATTCATCAAGTAACAGAAGAATAGAGAACAAAGGATGTAAAATTGATTCCATATCAAGAACTCTTAACAGAGTCAACTAAGCAATTTGAGGTTGTTAACTTTCATCACTTTACTCGAGATAAAAATCATTTCACTGATGCTTTAGCCACTTTAGCAGCAATGAATCGACTTGATTATAGAGTCCATGTCTAGTCTATTCAAGTAGAAGCTAGAAGCTTTCTAGCATACTGTTTGAATATTAAAGAAGATCAGAAAGAACTTCCTTGATTCCAGGACATTAAGGACTATATCACTAATAGGTCATACCCAACTGGAATGACTAAGAATGAAAAGAAAACTCTTCGTCGTTTGGCTATGGCATTCTTTATCAGTAAGGATGTTTTGTATAAGAGGGGTTACGAAGGTGCCTTACTTTGTTGTGTGAGTTCAGAAGAAGCAAAAAAAATCATGATTGAGGTGCATGAAGGCATATGCGGTACATATGCAAATGGTCATGCTATGGCCAAACAAATTCAAAGGTGTGGTTACTTTTGGTTAACAATAAAGAAAGATTACTTTGAATAAGTCAAAAAATGCCATAAATGTCAAATCTATGCTAACAGAATAAATGCTCCTCTAATTCCATTGCATAATTTGGTATCACCTTAGCCATTCTCAATGTGGGGAATTGACATTATTGGTCCAATTAGTCTAAAGGCTTCAAATGGACATTATTTCATCCTTGTCGTGATTGATTATTTCACTAAATGGGTAGAAGCAAATTTATTTGCTAGCATCACACAAAAAGTGATCCTCAAATTCATAAAGACTAATATCCTTTGTTGATATGGGTTCTTGAAAGGATCATTATAGATAATGGTACCAATCTTAATGGAATGGAAGTCAGAAGCTTTTGTGAAAAGTTCCAAATCACATAATTTAGCCCCATATAGACCTCAAATGAATGGAGCAATTGAAGTAGCCAATAAAAATATTAAGAAGATTATTGGGAAAACGATAGTAACTTATAAGGATTGGCATGAGATACTTCCCTATGCTTTATATGGTTATCGTACTACTATGCGTACATCCATAGGAGTAACCCTGTACTCCCTTGTTTATGAAATGGAAGCTGTCATACCCATTGAGATGGAAATCTCATCCTTATGAGTATTGGTTGAGGTAGATTTAGAAGAAAATGAATGGTTACAAACTTGATTTAAAAAACTCAACATGATTGAAGAGAAAAGACTTACTGTAATGTGTCATGGACAACTATACCAAAAGAGAATGGCTAAAGCCTTTAATAAAAAGCTTTACCCATAGGAATTCAATGCTGGTGATCTTGTACTTAAGAAAATATTGCCTAGCCAAGAAGATAATAGAGACAAATGGGCTCTGACCTATGAGAGGCCTTATGTTGTCAAACATGCCTTTTCTGGAGGAGCACTAATCCTAACTAACATAGAGGGTTAAGAGTTAGCGAAGCTTATTAATGCAGATGCTGTCAAGTGCTATTATGCTTAAAAAAAATGGAGACAGGGCTTGCTAGATTAAAAACCTGTAAAGGAAACCTAGGCA